AGCCCTCGTGTAGCTTTGCGCGAAATTCAAAAACAGACAAACAAACAACTAAAGCGTCATCTAGCTCGAACCTAAAACTGAACGATTTCCATGTAAGTTTATTTTTTATACACTGTGTAAATATAATTACAATTTAAACATTTGAATAATAGCTAATTAAAAATAAATCGAACTTATTTAGACACGACAAAATGTAATCACACTGCGATTATTTATCTCTTGTGTTTTAAAGGATTTAAAGTGAAATGATTTACAAAATATTTTCAAAGTAAGACACATTGTATTATGTCTCTCACACTTTCCACGTGAAACAAGACAGCATAACAAAAAATGAAATGTTATGTTTTGAAAGGTTATTTGATTAGGGAGCATCATTATTATTTGATAGTGTTTTATTATCTCTCGCAGCTAACAACCCAGTTGGCAGTTTTCCTACTTCCTCTATTATACTTGAACTCAAGTTTTAAAGTGAAGTTCAAGGTCAGACTGCATTGTGCAAGGGTTGACTCTGTAATCTGTGAAAAGAATGCGGTAGTTACCTACTAAAGATTTTAAAAATGTATTTACTGGCTATTAGTCAGTAGTTTATCTACAGGGGGCCGACTACGTGTCTACCATTTATACCTTGCTGCACCAAACCGCCTCGGGGAAGTATGTGAAGGATAAGTCAGGAAGTTTCGTATGTTTTTGTAACAATAATAAAACAAAACATTCTACTCTTAACTTAGATAATGCTGTTTTTACAGAATTGGGACTTTTATTGAGAACCAAAACAATAAAACCCATCTTTCTAAAATTAGATGAATTTAGCACTTGAATTACTGATCGTATTTTAAAGACATTTTTCTGGACTATTTGTACACCAAATTTCTTGTGGATTCATGGCTTTGTTGGTTACAGGGTCCTAAGAATTATACAAAAAAAATGTTAAAAAAATAACGCCAATACTGCAGTTAATCCCAGTAATTTCTAATAGAGCTTCCTATGTGTTTTACTTACAACTGCGTGATTTCTAAAAAAAAAAAAGGCAGTTCTTTGTGACAGACAAAAATATAAAACCATGACAGTGATGTAATATGTATATTCCACCATTAGTGAATGGTATGTAAACAAGCTGGTAACTGGCAGATTAGACTGTCGAAAACATATTAAGTATATTAAACATATGTTCATTGAGAATAAAGTAATGAAGTTTGAAAGTGCGTATTTTGATGCTTACTTTTTTTTCTAGTTAAAGAAAGACTTTACTCGTACGGTAATCTAAGTGTTCCTCTACCACTAAATCGTTTACAAAACACCAATAATAGCGGTTATACAGCTGGACTTTTCATCATTTAGTTTAACATGTGATTGTCATTTACATATCACATCATGATATTTCAAGTTTAACGTTTTCCCTTATTTCATGTACATTATTTTCTACATAAGATGTAAAGCAACAGAAAGATAAGTACTTAGAACTTCGGAAGACTACGCATGTGACGCCACACCCTTTGAGATATGTGACGCCATATTGGATGCAATTAGATTGTTTATTTGTTTGTTGTGAAGCACAGAGCTACAAAATGTACCCACCACGAGTATCAAACTGGTTTTAGCAGTGAGTCCCCAGACTTATCGCTGAGCCACTGGGAGGCTGATGTAAATAGGAATTTCACCTTATTAATATCTGACACATCGTATATGTGTTTTATGTGTATGTGTGTTATATATTTATATACACGAATGTATACATGTCGAATACGATGTACAGTGATAATTATCGACTTTTCTTGAGAGTAAAAAAATTATAAACTCATTTTATGCAGTAAATTGCCACAATGTTGATGATGAATCACCAAATATGTTATTTTATAGAATATCTGCAACCTCATTTGACCCAATTAGAGGTGATAAATGGAACGTAGCTATAAGTAGAAATAATTGTAAGTACCATGTACTATTTGCCTCTCAGTTGCATCTTTCTTTTTAACCAGTTGAAACCAAGCGGTAATTTGTATTTTACCATGTTATAATCACGCACAATGAATAGAGAAAACCTAATATTTTTCATTTTTACTTTAGAATTGCAAACTAATTTTATTTATTTTAAATTCGTAAATTTAATATTGTATACAATGTAAGCTGACTTCTTCAAAAGTGATTATAAAATAGAATTTATCAGAAATACAGAATTTGTTTGCTTCCTGAATAAAATTGTTATTATTTGTGAATTCTAAATCTATAAATTTTGATATCACATGTATAAAATCTACTTCTTCATATAGCAAAAAAGTACAATAAACGTATACCAAAAATTTGATTTCTTCCTGTAGTACGTACTTCAGAAGTAATAACATTTTCAAATAAAGCAGATTTCACACTGAGACTT